GGGCTCCGGAAATTTCGACCACCTTGGGTTCTTTAAGGTGCACCCAAATCTGAGCACGCGGGCCTGCAACATTTCCGCCTCCATCAGAAATGCAGCAGCCGAAGCCGCGATTCAATCCCGCGCCCTGCGGGTCAGCAGTCGAGTACCTTAGCCACTAGACCACCGTGGCGCGGCACTCCTTACATCCTTACTATTCCCGTTCAGTACTACCAGTGAAATTCATACCCCCTATAAATTATTTTTTGTTCTGTGACATTGCTTCTTTGGTGTTTCTTTTTTTTTTTTTGCCTTTAGGCTAAGTGCTAGCTCTAGTTCTGCTGTTGTGCTCTCGGTATCTGTTCTTCTTAGCACAAGAAGTTGTCTTAAGCGAAAAGATTTTGCAGGAGAGCATGAAAAGAGCAGGTTGAAAAGAAACAACTGCTGCGTATATTTGTTGTTGTTACCCGATCAAACCTTTCTCTTTCTGTTCATTTTATGTCACCGTCTCGAGGTATGTTGTTATCAACTTGTATCACTTATTCCAAATCATTACAATTTTGAAGTAATGACGCAACCTGGCCCATGTGCAGTGTCTAATGTATTTTTGTTTCTTTTCTTGTGTGTCTTGTGTCTTCGTACATGCGCGCGCGTATATATATATATATATATATATATTATATATATATAACTACAGTGTGTAGCAATATACTGACTAGTGTGCTGAGCGCCCAAATTCCGTACGATAGATGGTCGCTTCGCTGCCCCGCCGCAGTGGTCTAGTGACTAAGGTACTCGTCTGCTGATCCGCAGGTCGCGTGATCGAATCCCGGCTGCGGCGGCTGCATTTCCGATGGAGGCCGCATTGTTGTAGGCGCATGTGCTCAGATTTGGGTGCACGTTAAAGAACCCCGGGTGGTCGACACTTCCGGAGCCTTCCACTACGGCGTCTCTCGTAATCATATGGTGGTTTTGGCACGTTAAACCCCGTATATCAATCAAATCAGATGGTGGCTTCGCATGTGCAGAGTGCACTCAGATACCACAAGCGGCGCTGCGTGTCGAGAGGGTGCACGAACGCGCGAAATTCCTCTGGTTCTGTTGCTGCTGGAGCATCGCCACGTTTAAAATCAGTGTGGCACAGCTGCCATCTGATTTACTGTGAAGTTCGACGGCGCCTAATGTGCACTGCAACACCCTGAGATGTTGAAAGCTAAGTGGCAATGCAAATAAAGGACGTGTATTGTGCCGCTGTGTCAAAGAAGTTATCGGTCGAACAAGAAAAAGTTGTCTTGTTCCCCGTACTAACGAATACGGCATGGTTTTCTGCATGAAAAAGTAGGATCAAGAGGGCAGACAGAAGGCCAAATCTGAAGGCTGTCGTGTGAGAAAAGCATCCTGAGAGTGACTCCATCGAGCTATCTTTTTTGTATTAGGGTGAATGGTGTCGGGAACAAAATTGACGTATAGACATAATTTCAAATATCAGTATTTATCCTAAAATTGAAAAGACTCTTTAAAACTTTGTTCACACACTTTTTCCCCCAAATCAACGTCGGACTTCCTTTCCAACAACGTATTCTTATATGCGGCGAGTGTCGGATTGTTCATTAGCATGTTATCATTCTTTGTTTTCACTCGAATCCTAATGGAACGCAGGCTAAAAGGTAAAGGTTTTTGGGTCTTCTGTGATAATTCCCACTCTCAAGAACAAAGCACATTTTTAAAAATAACTCTGGTGGTTATACTTTCGATGATTTTTAAAATTAGTTTCTTTGCGTACTGCAACCACTTTGAGCACATATCTGTCCGTCTATCGATCCTTCCGTCCGTCCGTCCGTCCGTCCTTATGTCCGTCTGTCCGTGCGTCTGTCGAATTGCCTACGTTTGTGTGCCCTCACGATCACCCCCTTAACTTAGAGTAAACCAAAATTAGTGTGGGCGGGTAAGATGAATTGCAACAGAATCAAAAGTTGGGCTAGTTCCGAGATAATCTTTATTCCCTGTGTTCTCGATGTGCCACGGGTGTGCTTTTTTGCCTGCACACGCATGCGTTGTTTTTTTATTGCCTCTTTATATATTCTTCCCTTTCTAATAAATAGTTTAGGTGCGAGAAAGCGCTTGTCCTCTCTTCCTTTCTGTTTATTCGTGCACTTGAACTGACAATTATACCGGGTAAGATGGTTTGAAGAATATGACTCGCTGGTCGCGACATGAATATTTTCACAATCCCATCACGTACGCCATCAAATCCTTCTCGCCACATCTTTTTTAACGCGTGATCGTTAGGCTAGCATTGGCAACGTTGACCTTACGAATACAAATAGTGAACGTTTGTGTCCTAGCGGAGGAATTGAAGCCAAGAAATCTGCGTGGAAACCAAGTATTCTACTACCGAGCCACGCCAGGTCTTCGAAATACTTTGCAAGAAGAGCCAAATGTTCGTGAAACGCCAATTCTGGTTCCAGTGTTGACTATCTAATTTCTCACATATATTTAGCGCCACTTCATAATGTTTCGCTCAATAAAAAATTACAACAGATTCGCCTTCCATCAGCATGCTTTGCTTGGCATTGATTCCCAAGTTAAATGGGATCTACCTTTTTTTTTGCGGGCAGTAGCGGATGGCGAAATGTATGCCACGAAATGATCATTTGGTATTGCAAAGCGCCAATACTGTGAAAGCAATCCAGCAGTTCTTATACAATAAAGCATTGCGTAAAAACACTCCGAAAATGCAGAAAATAGTTCGCCTCGCACGGCTCGGCCCCCTGAAAGCTTCGCAGCGCTTGCGGAGCGCAAGGAGATAAAGGAGATAAAGCATCTGCCATCAGGATTGGTTGGAACTTTCACTAAGTCAGCATACGTGCATTTCCAAACATAGAGCCTGAAATCTATCATTTACATAAACTATACAAATATGAATGGCATACTAACTCTTGCAACATAGAAGGTTGTAATTAGGAGCATATACACCACCATTCATACCCCCTTAACCTCCCTGCCCACCCCCTCCATTTATTTTGTGCGTAGTTTTACAAGCCATGTTTATGACAGTTTTTCTTGTACTGGGTGTACTGCATTGTCTGCCTTTCAACAGTTATATATTTTTACTTTTCATTTGGTCAATTTACGAATCTTTGGCGCCCATTGTGGTCGCCTAACTTTCCACAAGACAAGACTTTTTGCTCACTAATCTTTTACGTCACGACACTTTCGCTTTAAACCAGATTTGTATCGATACTACCCAATCTTGTTTGAAACCCACCATACCACTGTCCAAAGCGTATCTCCGCTAGCTTCATGTTTCCCGTGAAAACTTAGTCCACAGGGTTACCAGCTGCTCTCCAGACAAGGACATAATCTGTTACATAACGACTTCAGTCCTTCTTGCACGCCCACACAGCTAAAAGTATTCACATCGTCCTGTGACCTCACTGTTCTGTCAATTATTTTTTCATGCAATGCACAGACTTTAAATACTCATCAAGCTCACTCGTAGCAACGTCTACGTGAGAATTTCTAGCTGGCTATTGCTAAATAGAAACCTTCAAGAGATATATCTGTCCCACGCACACACTGACAAGAAGCCTCAGGCCGAAGCATCCAGTCGTCGTTGGAAAACACAATTAGTCGAGCTACAGACACCATATCCAAGCATCTCGGCCCTCGAGACTAAACCAAGCACTAGCCTTCCAGGAGAATCTAACCTTTAACGCAACAACACTGCCTCGCAGAAAACTAATTCGCCAATACACGCATTTTGTGTGCGTGTGCGTGTGTGTAATCCAATAACAGCCTCGAGAATCCAGGGCTTTCCTTTCGGGAACTCTGGAACCTTGTCGCAGACAAAGCCACCCACGCCAGGATGAACGACGGACAGATCGAGGGTAAGCCAGGCCAGCGCGATTCGTTATCATTGCGTACAAAACCGGAAATGAGCGACGCACTTCCGCAGTGAAGGCTTCTTCGGCTATTCCAAATTAGGCCGGCTTTTCGACTCGCGTATTTTGTAATTTGTATTTTTCCCCTTCCTTTTTGCGTGTATCAGGTTCAAGAGTGTTGGAAAGAGGCCTATGTGAAAACCAGTCTAGACAAAAAGGGGAAAGCTCGACGACACAGACAGTCAAATTTGATAATTAGAAAAAATAAACCAGCACTGAAGCGACCTAATGACGGAACTTCATTCAGAGTGATGTTAGCACATATAGCTACATCTGCTTCATTTCATTCATTTGGAACAATACATTTTTTTTTCAAAAGTTGATCAAGGACTTTTTCATTAAGCCGCTCGCTATATCAGTGGTGTGAGTGGGGTGGTTATTGAATTAACCTTTCATACAGCATGCTTGCGGAAACACTCCATCTTGGAGGCTGGAAATACGGAGAGGCTTCGAATACCTTTAGGTCTAGTCTTTTACACCTCTGGCATTAATGCGTTTTCCTGATGACACACCCCGCCAGAGGTCTTGACCAGCACCCTTCTTTACCTGGAAATGACAAATGCTGCAGTATACAGTATAGTATACTGCAGTATATGATACTATACAATAGTTGAGTTAGTTAAAAGTTAATCCCTGGCACACACTTGGCCTGCTCGATTATGACATCTATTTAAAATTGAGCTTATTTATTCGCCTTCCCTGAAGCTCTTCATAAAAACAGATTCGACTAGTTATTTGCCTACGCTTCCGTGATGCGGCCTTGACAAGGTCTGCCATCACCGCTCATACTAGATGAACCGGCATCTGAAGACGAAAAACCAACCAACATGGTGAGTGCGTCATGGTGTCTTAAAACAACATTCACATCCAAAAATCAATTAAAAATTTTACAAACAGCATTGAATTTCTCCTGCGTTTAACACGTTATATACAGTCGTCCCACATTGCGCATCACGGTTGTCACAAACGAAAACGATTAAAACACACGCCCTACTACCTGTGCTTGCCAGGCCACTCTTTGCCGCTTGGCGCGGCCTGCTGAACACGCGAATATTCTCGGAAAAAAGGAAAAAGGTTCACCTTGGGTCTCCGAGGTGGCGTGCTTGAAGAGTATACGCGCACGAACTCTGAGGTGGAGTCGCGCTCCCCCGTAGATGCCTCGTCACGTTCTCTGTCGGTGATGGGTTGGCTGCGCCAAGACAAACAAAGAAAGCATGTAATTTGTGGCACTTCTACGCTAGAGTTACACATCGTGCACATGCAGCGCAAAGGGACGATTTCATTCGTGGACGAAGAGAAAAATTGACGGGGCATGGTTGCGTGAAGGCGAAAAAAGTCACGAATGTTGTGTTTTCAGCAAGCCATGGCCCTTCCCCAATGTTACAGAAAGTGTCAAATGCGTCAAATCATATTCATACTTGAGACAACTATTAGCGAAAAGAAAAAAAAGGTTAATTTAAAGGTTGTTCTAAAGAAAACGCAAAATAAAATGACCTTCTCTTCGAATTGATCAGAAGTTTTGTGTGGAAGCATATATAGGTAAAACTCGAAATGTAACTCCACCAAAACGAGCGCATTGCTAACAACAGACAATAATTACGTTAAAATCATTCATGAAGCCTTATGTATAACATACATTGACATTTACATTTACCTATAATGTTAACACTAAAATATTTAGTTCTTTGATCTATGGCGACTATCTAAAACTCAAAAAATCATACCAATAAACGTTCCAGCTCCTAACTATATAGACTGTTACGGGCGCACGTTGTGATAAGGAACGGGCATTGACTGCAGCGTCACAAACAAAGCTTTACACCTAAACCTAGTTGAAAAAGACAGCCGCGCTTCAAAATAAAAAAACAAAAACCTGACTGTAAAGCGAAAGGATTTTAAACGATGCGAGATAAAAGGCGTCAGAAGTGTTACAGCCGTCTCTATACGCCAGGTATCGCATTTGCGCGAGACTTTCACATGCAGCATAAAGGATGAAACTCGCTCACCCGCATCGCTAATTGGGGATCTAATTGGGTGAAAATTACGCCATGACTCATGCACTCGCAGTCACAAAAAATCGCCACTAAGCATGCACTCGTGCTCGCTTCGCCAGCGTGTGGGGTACGTACGGACGCAGTCGGAATAAATCTGGCAACGTCAGCAGGTGCCAGTATCTGCGTCTCATTTGCATTACCGAACGCTTCAGGAGGGTAACTGCTGTTTTCTTGCCTGTTACTAATTGCCGTGAAATATTCAGTGCACATCACCAAGCTTAACAAAGATAGTAGCCAGATATGCATACACTAGGCTTGGGTCATGTCAAGGCTATAAAGAACCTGTATCAGTATAGTATACGCTAGTATTACCGTGAAGCGCCCTATATACCAGTGGACAATATGCGGAATGTGTGAGCGTCATATTTCGGGTAACCTTCTACGCCAATCATAATAAAAATTGTTACTATCATAATTATGGTATATTTTATTATTATTATTATTATTATTATTATTTTATATTATTATTATTATTATTATTATTATTATTATTATTATTATTATTATTATTATTATTATTATTATTATTATTATTATTATTATTATTATTATTATTATTATTATTATTATTATTATTGGGGATTAACGTCCCGAAACCACCATATGATTATGAGAGACGCCATAGTGAAGGGCTCCAGAAATTTCGAATTTCGATTACCTGGGGTTTTTTAACGTGCACCTAAATCTAAGTGCACTGGCCTTAAGCATTTTCGCCTCTATAAAAAAAATGCAGCCGTCGCAGCCGGTAATACATCCCGCGACCTGCGGGTTGGCAGCTGAACACCTTCCACTGGACCCCCGCTGCGGGTTATCGTCAACGTCCATAGTTGCTTAGTCCTTGCGTACTATTTTGTTTTGTTCATCAGATGGCTGTAATATATGCTGTGAGGTTACTGCAAGGGTTGTGTTTCATTATCTATCTTGCGCTGCTTCGGCGAGGACACGAACTAGTGCCTTGCGCTCAGAGGCTATAGGTGACCAAGAGTCTCATTCAGTCTTTCTGAAGGTTGTTATGCACATGGGACTCTTCTGCTTATGCAATTCAGAGATCGAAAGTATTCTGGAGAATTCTGGAGTACCATCATACATTCGGTAAATCAGCTCTGTCGAAACGCGACCGAGATAGTTTGTGTGGATCCGTATAATGAGCTCTCTCTTCATGCTTCGTCTTATTGTGTGCTGCCAAACATTATATATACATTTTCGTGGAAACTTGCAAGCCGGAGAATTATTTTAAAAAGGTAAACGTTCGCATTTGCCTGAGAATCACAACCTCACCAGACTTTTATATAAGGAATAACGAAAAGTGATTTTTTGCATATGTATGTGCATCTGTGTATATCAACACACAAACAGCCACAATACTTCTGTGAATGCGCTTACTTAAATATACATGATGTTTCCTAATCGCATGTTCCAATAAACATTTATAGGGAGTGCATCTTAATAAAGTCTGCGAGCCCCACAACCATGATATAGTTATGAAGTCGTAGTATAGGACTCCAAAACTTTTGACCACCTGGTGTTGCAATGACGTCGCGGGGAAGTATGTTTACGTGTCTTAAGCCAATATATGGCGTGTTGATATTTCAAGAAGAGATCAAATGCACAGATGAACAATTCTACCTAAAGCAGTTTGAGTAATCTAAGTACACATTTAGCCTCCGAAACCAAGTTTAAGGTGGCATAAAGCTCATTGATATGCAAGGTTTAACGTCCCGAAACCACCATATGATTATGAGAGACGCCGTAGTGGAGGGCTCCGGAAATTTCGGCCACCTGGGGTTATTTAGCGTGCACCCAAATCTGAGCACACGGGCCTAAAACATTTCCGCCTCCATTGAAAATGCAGCCGCCGCAGTCAGGATTCGATCCAGTGGCCTGCGGGTCAGCAGCCTTAGCCACTATACCACCGCGGCGGGGCGACGGCATAAAATTGTATGTGAAGCCTCAGAGATGATCTTCATGGGAAAAGGCTTGTGGTACTCATTAAATTGACCACGGGTGTCGTCATATTGCCAGCAAACGTATGACTGCTTTTTTTTTTGTTGCTAATATGAAGTAACGTGTTATTCATCTTTCAGCCTTATTCCCACCCTGATTCGATGCACACCCGCAAAAATAAGAGTTAAAGCAGTCATCGTAGGCGTACGCCAGCCGGCTTGAAATCTCGTCGTTGTTCTCACTTGCGTATACGTGCGTATAGGGACCGCTAATCGGGTGTTTTGTATTGGTAGGAAAAAGAAAAAAATAAGATTGTCTCACATGCTATGACGCATGCTACAATTTCGGTCCTAATGCTGCTATGCCGTTACAGCTGAGTGTGCGAGCAATTTTTAAAGCCCTCTCCACGTAAAACAGGCCAGGCGTGCTTCCTTGGGCAGGCTCGGCTACGTGGGTCTTTCTCCTCTATTTTTTTTTTGGTCCCTCAGTTCTATCTCTTGTCTCTCATTTTTTTTTTATCTTTCTCTTTCTTTCAATCTCTCGCTCACTTTTTTCTCTCTCGGTACTCATTCTGTCGTCTATCATTGTTCACGCGAATCCATATCTGCATTTGAAGTACTCTTCGATAACATAACTTCCTCGTTTTCCTTGTTGTTGTTACTTGTTGTTGTTCCTCATTGTTGTTGCTACTTTTCAAGGCGGCTGTTTTTTTTAAGTCGTTCCTTACGTGAAATTTTCATGCCACATGTTCATATATTGCTACTTTCGAACGCTATATACTTGTCGAAGCCCCTGCTGCTTTCCACTGTGCAGCTACACTTAGCTAGCTGTTTATTTTGCTGGCTCTGTTGTGCAGCGAATCATCCTTGGAGTTCATTAATGTTGATAATAATGCTAAAACAAAAAAAGTTTCTTAAATTTAAATGCCGAAACAAAATAAACAAAAAGTACGGCAGCAGCGCATAAGTGGTGCAACTTCTGAAGGTACAGCATATCTGGGCGGCCTTGCTTGTTCCCTTTTTAAAAATTTTATATTCTTCTCTTTCTCTCAATTTTTATATCTTTTTTTAAGACCTTCCTCCTCTTTTTTCAGTCCTTTTCTATCCTTTCGTCTTTTATTTCTTTCTTTTCCTCTCTTTCCCTTTCTGTTAATCTCTCTCTTTTCTCTTTGTACTTATTCTCTGTATCACACCCTTAAATGAAGTTCCGCGTCGGTCTCATTGCGAGCAATGAAAGAAAGGCCATCATCACGTGATGGCGTCATCGTAACGTCACACATCACTGCTTGATCAGAGACGGACCGACATCAAAGGCATTTGAAAACAAGGTAAGAATGCCTGCAATGAAGCATTGGAAAAAAAATAATGAATTGCAGAAATGTTTTCGAGAGTGGCCTGGAAGGTTCAATATTTCGACTTTGAAGAAGACGATGGCTTTCGAGTTGATCGAGAGAAATCGGTGTGCATAACAGACCATGCGGGTATTCGCGTTTCACGCCGGAGAAATCTGCTCAGTCACACACCCGTTGCACTTGCTCGGGCAGCGGAGCACAAAATGAAGAAGAGGAGGACGAGGTGAGAGCGCGCGGCATTACTGGTGATACGTAAGCCGAGCCTAAAAAGCAATATTCGCTGCTTCGCCCAAGTGGCCGCACAATACGTTGTCGTCCTTGAATCTGCAATGGAAAAAGTTCAGGTCTTTAGTTATTGCCGTGCACGTGCCACAGAATGGCCATGAATAATAATAAAGTGATTATTTGGGCCCGGTTGGTACATGATCAACAATGGGAAAAAGAGCGTAACACGTGGACAGTGACAGCGCTTCGTCCGTCTCTGTCACTGTTCTGTGTTACAATAATATTCGGGGTTTAACGTCAAAAAACCATGATACGGGAGACGCCGTAGGCTAGGGCTCCGAAAATTTCTACCACCTGGTGTTCTATAACGTGCACCTAAGTCTAAGTACACGGACATCAAGCATTTTCGCCTTCATCGAAAATGCGGCAGCAGCGGCCGCTATTTGATCCCGCGACCTGCGGGTGAGCAGTAACAACTTAGACCACCATGACGGGTTGCACCACAGTGAAGGTTGAAGCACCACCTTAAAGCACCACCATGCGCACGTGATAATTAAACAAAAGACTACCCTAAACTTGCACATCCGGTTACAGCCAGTTGTGTACCGGTGTCAC